TCTTAGGAACCTTAAGTGCAGCAGAAATTTTTTTGTAACCTTGGCCAGATCTGTGCCTTGCCACAATTCTGTCTCTGAGCTCTTCAGGCAGTTCCTTTGACCTCATGATTCTCATTTGCTCTGACATGCACTGTGAGCTGTAAGGTCTTATATAGACAGGTGTGTGGCTTTCCTAATCAAGTCCAGTCAGTATAATCAAACACAGCTGGACTCAAATGAAGGTGTAGAACCATCTCAAGGATGATCAGAAGAAATGGACAGCACCTGAGTTAAATATATGAGTGTCACAGCATAGGGTCTGAATACTTAGGACCATGTGATATTTCAGTTTTTCTTTTTTAATAAATCTGCAAAAATGTCAACAATTCTGTGTTTTTCTGTCAATATGGGGTGCTGTGTGTACATTAATGAGGAAAAAAAATTAACTTCAATGATTTTAGCAAATGGCTGCAATATAACAAAGAGTGAAAAATTTAAGGGGGTCTGAATACTTTCCGTACCCACTGTATATATATATATATATACTAATGATGCTCACTGGCAGAGGGTACAATTTTTAGGTTTTTAAATAATTAGAGCACTCAAAATCAAAGGTAGCTGAACACATCTATTCTCGCTCACAGCAAGTAGTGTATACTTTGAAAGGCTTGTGCGCTTAACTGTGCTCTAGATGGAGCAGAGCATGGAAAATCCTTAATGCTTTTTGCGGCAATTTTGTTATGTGCTTTCATTTCCTTAGACCTTCCCATATTCTTCTAAACTGTGGGATTCCATATCATGTGGCTACCAATGCTTTGAGGATCAGTGTGGGTAGAAGTACCTCCCATGAAGATGTGGACATTGTCGTGGAGGATCTGAGAGACACTGTAGAGCAACTGGAGCGGATGAACTAGCACCATGGATATTGTACCTGCTTATGTGTGTGTGTGTGTGTGTGTGTATGTATATATATATATATATATATATATATATATATATATAGTATAATATATATATATACAAATGGATATTGAACTCCAACCAAAAAGGACACATTTTATTGAATGGTTTTAGTTTACAGCTATGGGGCTTTGCACATAGATTAGATGGTGTGTCATGAGCATAGAGTTCAGGTTTCAGGGTCATTGTCAGGTTGCACTACATTGATCTAAGAGCTCTTTATTTAGCAGAATATAATATTTAATGTAAATCTTATTTGCTTTGCAAAAAGATTAGATGGTGTTTCATGAGCATAGAGTTCAGGCTTCAGGGTCATTGTCTGGTAGCACTACATTGAGCTTGTTATTTAGCAGAATATATTTAACGTAAATTATTTGGTAAAGCATATTTCATATATGGAACTTCAGGGAATTTAGCTGATAAATAGTTAAAAAATAAGTGGCTTGCATATGGGGGTGTGTGATATGTACAGTCTACAGTAATATCATAATTGTTTTTTAACAACGTGTAAGCTGACATTATAGAGTATCACTTACTTTGCAAAAAGTAATTGAATCATTTATTTCTGTCACTGTGGGAAACTAACCAACCACTGCACAAAATACAAAGAATATGAAAGTAATTTTTCCACGACAGAAAAAAAAATGCACTGCGAAATATTGTTACCGGCAAAATTACATTAAATATCAAGATATCAATTTTTCTGGATATTGCACACCCCTACTTGCATATTACTGTTGGCTTTGTTCATGGTCGTTTCAGGTCAGAGTTCTTTTTAACAGGGATTTTTAGTTAATTGGTTTTGGTATTTAGGGGTGAGTTTGCCCCTCCTGATTTGATATTAAATACACTGTGATATTTTGTATTTTTTTTTAAACGGTTTCATAACTGAATGATGTCAATTGTTCTAATTATGTTGTAGATATTTTACCCTATTTTTCAGGGAACAATAGAGTCCTGTTCATTTTAACTTGGCGGCTGTACTTGGGATGTGATGGAGCGTGCACGTTCAGAATGAGACCGAGATATCTGTTACCAGTACAACAAAGCTGCAACAGCATTATTAAATGAGCTAAATGGACTCTCTTTAACATCACAGTGCTGATCTGGTCTCCCCTGATGCTGAATCATTAAAGTTCAAATGCTCTAACCAAACTGCTCCATTCTAATCCCTTGACCTCTTTCCAGAGACACTCTTGGCTATTCAGACAGAAATGAATATTTAACATGTGAAAACGAGGCTCACTGTAATCTCTAAATACATGCCACATGCATGCACACCAGTTTTAGTAGGTCTTCAGAGGCCAGTTCTCTCATTACTCTGGTGTCTGCTGCCAGAGACAAGGGCAACCATGTGCAGGTTGGTAAGCGATCACAAAGGCAACGGCTGGGCCACGATGAGCACTGGTGCATTGTGACGTCTTTCATTACCTTTACAGCTCACCGGGCCAGACCTTCTCCTCTCCTCCGCTCACACAATCCCGCCAGCTGGCAGACGGTTAGGTGTCGGCTTCCCCTGTGTGTGTGCATGTGTGGTGTGGGGGGTAGGTTGAATTGCCCGAGACAGTGTCCGGATCCAGTCAAAGGCAGCTTGCGCAGGTGCAGAGAGGCAGGGTTAACATGGTGCTCCAAAAGGCCATTGCTGCAGCCCGGGATGGTGACCTACAGAGCCTCAGGGAGCTTGCCGAAACTGGATGTCTTACAGGCGCCATTGTGGATGCTCAGGGTGCGGGACTGGTGCACCATGCTGCACGCTGTGGTCAGCTGGACTGCCTTTGCTTTCTGGTGACGGAAGCAGGGCTGACTGCTGACACGAAGGCCCTTAATGGAGCCACACCTGTCCATGATGCTGCGGCTACAGGTCACACCCGGGAACTAAAGTGGCTCGTACAGGTTGCAAGATGTAATGTACAGGTGAGTGGAGAGGTTATGGAGCTATGGGGGTGTTAGCACAGTGGTGTGAACAGAGTTGGATCAAGAGTTGCTTTTCAGATGGGTGATTTACTTTCTTCCCGAAGACCACAAAAGATGATGTTAGGAAAGATGTTCATGCTGTGCCATACAATCAAAGTGAATGGTGACCAAGGACTGTCAAGCTGCAAAAATGACAAAAACCACCATAAAAGTAGTCCAAGTATGTCTTATTTTCTGTTATCCAAGTCTTCTGAAGCCATTTGATCATTCTGTGTGAGGAAAAGACGATTAAAATGACCAGAGGGCCTGTTTCCACTCAGTACAAATCTGTCTGTCTGCTTGTCTTGTTGGTAAAGGCTATTTGCACTAACTCAAAAGAAACCAAGCTTAGATAAACCACAAAAGAAGAAACCAACTCAAGGTAGCTGGGACAGTGGCGTGGAGAGCAAGGACTATGGATTTAGCCTTTGACACGACTGACCCATATTAATATCTGTATTTTTCAGATCCCATTCTTCGTTTGCACAATGCATATCAACTCCGATAACCTTTTATTTAAAAATAATAATAAATGTGAAAAAGAATTGCCAAACGGGCATTTAATAGTAGGAAAAAGGTCCCAATAACACATCCATTTATGATTTCAATAATATTCAGTCTTTTATAAGATTGTATGTCTGCAATACACTGAGGTGCAAATATTGTCTGCCACTAATTGCACTAGGTATACAGTGTTTTGCAAAAGTATTTAAAAAAAAGTCATTTTTTTTCATTTTGTCTTATGCTGTAGCCTTATGTTAAACTGCTTTAAATTACCTTTTCCCACATCAATCTACACTTCATACACCATAATGACAAAGTAAAAAAAAAAAAGATCTGTGGTAACTTTGCAAATTTATTAGAAAGGAAAAACTGAAATATTGACATTGAAGAGGGGAGGGGGGCGGGAAAAGTCTATAAGTCAGGACTCGAATTCGGGACGCCCAAAGCACAACTGCACTATACTGTATGTTGGAGTGCTGCCCACAAGGCTTTTGGTGCCGACTGATAATGCATTTTCAGTGGTTAGGGCTATACTTTATATAGACAGGTGTGTGCCTTTCCAAATTATGTAAAATCAGTTGAATTTGTCTCAGGTTAACCCCACTCAAAGTGTAGAAAAATCTCAAAGTTGATCCAGTAAAACGAATACTTCTAAGCTAAATTTTAAGTGTCACATAAAAGAGTATGAATACTTGTGCAATGTAATTATTTATTTTTCTTGTTTTATTTTATTTATTTTTATAAATTTGCAATTATCACAAATCTGCTTTTTGTTTTGTCACTGTGGTGTATGAAGTGGAAAAAAGTTTGATGTGGAAAAAAAGTTTATTTTTAGATTTGTATGTTTTCTACAGAAGACAGTTTCATACAGGTTTGAAACTGCATGAGAACCACCAGCAACACCTGCTCCAAATATAGCACCTTACAAAATAAGTAGTTCACCTGCTACAGGAACGGAATGGTGTGAATGGTGTGATTACATCACTTTCCCTTGCTCTGTTTACTCTTTGCTCAGTAGTATTGCATGACCACTGTAATCATGACCAGATGGGTTAGAGGGGGCTCAATCGAACCGTTTACAGTGTTTGTTTACCAGGGAAGTACAGGCCATACTGCTTCTCCGAAACCCCCCACCCCCACCGCCCTTCTCTCACACTAATGCAAACCGGCTCTTTTAACATTGACAACCTCTTGATCTAATTTACAGCCAGCTGTGCTGTGTTAAAGTAGATGTTTTAAGTGCCTTGTTATCATCGACTAAAGTGATAACAATTCTTGGTTGGTGGTCTTGCTGGGAGTTCATCGGGGTTTTTTTTTTTTTTTAAGCTTGTGCTTGCCAAGGTGAGGTCAAAGTTGTATGAGGTTGAATTATTAATGAACATTTCCTTGGTCTGATTAAATAAAGATGGCTACACTAATTTGATCACATTGGCGGTGTAGAGGAGTGATGGCCCGTTGAGGAATGGGGTCTGTGTCAGCACTCCGCAGCAATAGATTTATAGTAGAATGGACATACACTGTACACAATACACACTGTTGCTATGATGGGGTTATGATGACATCATGAAATAAACTCCATCAAATCGAATGTTCTTTCAGCTTATGACTCAATGACAGCTCTTTACCAAAGTGTTGGCTCATGATTTTAAGTGGTTGTATTTTTACTTATTAAAACATAATAATAAATAATAATACTCTTTCCTTTAGTTTCCTCACTGCTTAGTCAAACTGTATTTGTTAAATGTATCTTCTGTATTGTGGTAGTAAAAAGTTTGGATCATCATATAATGGCATAATTGCCAAGTGAACTGGGGATAATAATCTAGTTTAAAAGACGTGTCAAGATTTTAGAAATGAACTCTTTGAATACATGTTGGTTTAATATGGTTTTGAAAACTTTTATACCATTTTCAAGATGTAATGTCTTTTAAAATGTCATGTGGTATAACCAAGTAAAAGTGATAACATATTTTACTTACATTTTGGATATACATCATTTTCAAAAATGTTTTAAAATATATTTGTCTAGGTCAAAAAAAAAAAACTTTTATTAATTATTAATTCATAAATATCACATTTGACCTCATGAGGTGGGTTGTAAAGGGGTGGAACATTTCCGGAAACTTTCCAAAAATCCCTGGAATATTCCAAAAAATCCTGGAAAGTTTCCAAAATTTCTGGAATATTTCCGAAATTTACTGGAAATGTTCCACCTTTTTGCAACCCTAGTTGTAATGTCTTTGACCTTGAGATTCAGTGATAAGGGTCTGCAGGGGCCCTTTCTGTAATGGTTATTACTGGTTTCCTTTTCAAGAATGAATGTTTTGTTTGTTTTTATAAAGTTAATTCCTACTTTTTATCTCACAATTACTTTTTTCAGAATTTTCATAATTGTGAAATAAAAAAATCATCATTACCTTGTTATATTGTGGCAGAAACAAAACAAAAAAAATTGCAATATGTAAACTCAGAATTCAGTGAAAAAGGCAGAACTGCAAGATATACAAGTTATGATATAATATAAAATATATAGTGGCTTTTTTTTTTTTACTATATTTTTTTAAAAAGAAAAAT